CACCGCTTTATAATATTTCTATTTGACGGTGATGAATGAGAAGAAGAATATGAAAAATTGTTGACGCGGAGTAACCACTCCTTAGAATACACCTCAACAGGATTTTTAAGGAAACATTTATTATGAACTGTTTTGGATTGACTTTCAAGCCGGTTCATCATTTTCAAGATTGATGGTTCGATATAACATGTGGATTTTTATAGGACGATTTAATTAGGAAACGATCATCCTTAAAACACATAAACATTCAGTAACCATGTAAAAATTTAAAATCGAATCACTCCTTTACGGAAGGAGGATACAGATAAAAGACTTATCTATTATTAATCTCTGCTTTTTGGGCAGTAGACAGCAAGGAAAGAGAAAAGGTCCTTCCATTCAATCCAAAACCCGGAAGGAATTTTGCCTGCGTTTCAGGCAGAGCATGACATAATATGACTTCATTAAATCTATCCGGGTGTATCCCACTAAATCCACCGGCTCAATAGAAGTGTTGTTATGAAATAAGAAAAGGATTTTGAAAATCCAAAGAGATATTGTGGACAAAAGTGCCTTTACAGATAAAGCATTCAGAAACTATTGTAAGACTGAAGAAAACATTGATTACATGATGATGACGTCAATCTAGTTAAAGGTGTCAATAGAGCCATTATTCAAGCTCTCACTGTTAAGTTCCGAATCATAATCCATAAACTTCGTTTAAATACTTAAATCGAGTACAACACATATTAAAGGGGGGCGTCGGTGCCGCAACGGTTTAAGCCAGAAACACACTTACCCGATGCTACGCAATGCGACGCTACCCGACGCAAATCCAAACTCCGATTTTCCATAAGGTTGCATTACCCCCTTGCACATCTACCCGATGCTATGCGATCCCCACTGTCCAGATTTTCGTCGGGTCGCATCGAGTACAGTCGAAGACAAAAGAACCGGACACTCATATTTTTATTCAAACTGCATCTATTATCGTCGTGATATTAATTACAACTTATTTTAATATAAACCAAATTAACTGTGATTAAAAATAATTAGTTTTTATTTAAAAAATTAATTTTAATGGTTTGGCAGAAAATTAATCAAAACACCGGAATACGATTTTTTGATATAATGAATTTAACTAACAATTTCGTCTACTCGCTTCGGCGGTACAAATACTAAAATTGGAATTTGAATAAGAAATAAAGAAATACTCAATGATGGAAAGTGGGATCGCGGAGCGTTGAAACTTGAACGACTGACGAGTAACATACAGTAAATTTTATGGCACCTGGGAAGACAAAATGAGACCTGGACATGAAACATGACATGAAATTGTTAGCCATTTCAGAAAGGCGACACTAATGTCTAACCAAGGAAAGTGCTCGACTCTTTTAAAAGTAGTGCACTTTGTGTGGTATTGAAATTCAGAAGTGTGAATTCAGCAATACATATTTAAGACAAAAGTGAAAGAAAGGAAGACTAATCAGCAGTGAAACTGTATGAAATGAAAAATCTACACTCAATTTTTGTTCTCATCCATGCAGATTCTTAATCAATAATATAAAAAAAAATAATTGTACTGTTTAACTAAAACATAATTGTACAATAATTTGAATTAAAAAATAACTATATTATTTAGTATGACTAAAATAAATTTTTAAACAATTAATTAAGGTTTTAAATTTAGATAAAAAAGTCAGTGTCATGAGCGAGATTCGAACCCACGACCTTCGGCTTGATACGCCGCTACTCTACCACTTGAGCTATCATGACTTCGAGGTGGAGATGGCAAGTTAGTACCCGAGGGGATCGAAATCACGATAGCTCAAGTGGTAGAGTAGCGGCGTATCAAGCCGAAGGTCGTGGGTTCGAATCCCGCTCGTGACACTGACATTTTATCTCAACTTAAAACCTTAATTAATTGGGTGATATTAATTGGTCAAGCGGACCACGAAAAATAGTGAATTTAATAAATTTTAAACTTACAGCGAACACGCAGAATAAATTTTTTCCTAATTTCTACCAGTTAATTAAGGTTTTTAGGTGACATAAAAAAGTCAGTGTCACGAGCGGGATTCGAACCCACGACGATTTTTATCTCACCTAAAATCGTTAATTAATTGAAAGATATTAATTGGTCAAGTGGACCACGAAAAGAAGTGAACTTATTTTCTACGTTCTTAAAGGTTACGAAATACGGGTGATAACGAATATTAAACAATCCTGAAAATTTGGTAATCACTATTTATAATATAAATATTTACGGGCGATACGGCAATTAATGAAATATTTATATTTTATTGAATGCACATCCATAAATGCGTAGTTGTGATTTATTCATCCCTTGGGGCCATAAAAACCGTATATTTTCTCATTAGAACGGTTTTTCTTTTTTTACATACTGACCCTCTCTGAAATATATCCTTGTTTATATTCTGTGTGGTTATTTCGTTTTTCTTTTTATTTGAAAAGGGCGCTTTTAATCTTGTATACCTGTCTGGTTCGAAAGCAATCACAAAGGTTGCCCTGGGGTTTTCTCGAACATAACGTGTTTTTTTTCTCCTTTGAGATTTTTTTGAAACTGTATTGGTGTTTATATCCTGGAAAACAGAACGACCAAAGAAGCCGGCAGAAAACTCCACGACTCTTCTCAACCTGTACGCCTAGGGGATTTTAAAACCATTTATTTCCAATACAGTAAAAGGAAAATGAAAAAGCCGTAACAATATAATGAGGTTAATTAAGGTTTTTCGTTGACTTAAAAAAGACAGTGTCACGAGCGGGATTCGAACCCACGACCTTCGGTTTGATACGCCGCTACTCTACACTTGAACTTCGTTGCACGAATTTGACCAATTAATCTTTCATCTCAACTAAAAACCGTAATTAATTGAATGATATTAATTGGTCAAGCGGACCACGAAAACTAGTGAATTTAGTAAGTTAAAATGAAGTATACTTCACTAAAGCTCTCCGTGGCCATCTCATTTCTCGCCGAGAATCCAATAGATTGAATTTTCACCTGGAAAGGTGGGGTTGAGATGGAAGTTGTGTCCGAGTGGATCGAAGTCATTATAATTCAAGTGGTAGAGCAGCGGCGTATCTAGCCGAAGATCATGGGTTCGAATCCCGCTCGTGACACTGACTTTTATCTCAACTAAAAATCTTAATTAATTGAAATATATTAATTGGTCAAACGGACCACGAAAACTAGTGAATTTAAAAAATTAACAATTTTTTTCATCTTACTGTATATTAATTTTCGTTTCAATTTGTATCTATCAAATAAATATTTTGTGCGAAAATGAGAAGATGATAAAATATCTTTCAAGAAATCAAAATTGTACTTTTTTAATATAGTGTTTGTACATTTGAGCTTTCACCAAACTTCAGAGGGAGAAATATTTTTCGAAGTGGTTCAATTGTTAAAATAACTAATATTTATGAAAGGTTATTGATCGAGATAAAAAAGTCAGTGTCAAGAGCGGAATTCGAACCCACGATCTTCGGCTAAATACGCCGCTGCTCAATCCACTTGAGCTATCGTGACTTCGCTTCACTTATTTAGCCGATGATCGTTTGTTCGAATCCCACTCGTGACACTGACTTTTTCATCTCGACCAATACCTTGCATAAATATTAATTAATAGAAGCATGTTAATTGGTCAATCGGACCACGAACTGTAATGGATTTAATAATTAAACTAAAGTATATCTTCACTAAAGCTCTCCGTGGCAATCTCATTTGTCGCCGAGAATCAAATAGATTACAGGACATTTGAAAAATTGCAAAAAGGAGGGAAAATTCGAAAGGTGGGGTTGAGGTGGGATGTTAATGTCCGAGTGGATCGAAGTCACGATAGCTCAAGTGGTAGATCAGCGGCGTATCTACCCGAAGGTCGTGGGTTCGAATCCCGCTCTTGACACTGACTTTTTTATCTCAACTAAAAACCTTAATTAAAAAAGATAATTAAGGTTAAGAAAGACGTCGGTCCCTTGAGAAGGGTCGATAAAAGAAAAGGGCGTAAGGACTATAACTCGGCATAGGTCATACTAACTAGGTCATACTAAGTACTCACGGTACTTAACTTACGGTCATTTTCTAGCGGGAAATAGACGTAGATGTCTGTTGTACTAGAACAACATAACAGTTGAGCACAGTTTTAACTGTAGAAGGCTTGCCGTCTGTAGGCAATATTGCGATATATCGTCGATTGTATCTATGTTGTGCTGTGTTAATTTATTAGAATAATTGTAACTTATTAACATGAAAGGAAAGTGTTGTGTAATCCCGTCCCGGGAATATCGAGTTTCTGGTGTGAGTGTGATGTCTGGAGAATCAAAGTAAATTATTTGCGAGAACCGAGAGCATTCTCCCGCACCGCAAGGAATATCGAATACTCCAGGGGCGTGAATGTGTCCAGAATTCTATGTCTGTATAGAATGGTGATGTATGTACATATATTGTATGTTTTGTGCCTATTCTGCAGTCGACAACCTGAGGGACAAATGAGGGGCTAGCAATTTATGATATCGATTCAGTTTTCATATAAACGTAGAGAATCAGTAACAGATGGTGACAAATGGCTTCAGGTTGAAAAGCGTTTAAGAACAGAAAAATAAGTAAAAATACACAGAAGGCGAGCGATGACCAATATTAAACTACCCACATTATTATTAATATATCATATAAAAGATGTTTATTTTTCATCATTCGGCAAGAAAATCTCGATTTCTGAAAACCAAAAGAAATCCGTGGAATTGAAAGAGATAAACGATTCCTTCTGAACGAATTAAACCGTTACGGGGACTTAACGGATTCGACCGATCGTTCGGTAATCTTGATGGAAAGGTTCGGACTAGTTGAGAGGGTAAAACAGACGATTTCCTCCTAAGTACCAACACTTTTCGAATCGGATTTCATTCGACCGAAACAAATCAGTTTAGCTACATCAAAACCCGGTCGAACAATTTACTTTTGACCACATTGATAACTTAGTGTACACATTGAAACTTACATTATTCTCATCGAAGACTCGGAAGACAAGAGAAGCGAACTTCGTCGGATCTCCTTGAGGGAAGAACTGTTTGTATATCTTTATAAAGCCCTGAAACAAAACAAAAAGTTAATATTTGACAGGAAAATTTTTGAAACAATTTGATTGTTAATACAAAAAAAAAATCAGTCGTAACATATTTAGGTACTGGAGGTCTTGGTTATGCTTAATCTTAATTAACTCAATTCTAAATTAACTAAACTAAAAACGTCTTCGAAAAATTACACTAAGTAATGTTCCTTGTACAGTTTACTTTTTTGCATATTGTGCACCTTGTGGTAAATCAAATAAGATTTTTTTCACTGCCGAACGTGAGTGGAAAACGGAAATGTATGCCATTAATATTCGCTTTTGGACCTTGCACGCAAGAACATGGAGCATGCATGTTCTTTCAAAAAGCATTGTCACGAATATTGAGGAGGTAAACTTCCTAGCTATTATTTTAAAATTAGAAATATGGAAATATATACTCTAGTAAATTTGATTTGGCTTTACTGTTAAATAGTAGTTAAAACTCATAGTTTCATACTTTGTTCAGTTTTCTTCTTCTTGCTGAAATATCTACACCCTCTTTGTTCATTGCCATAAATCAATTTTTCTATTTTGTTTTCTGTAGCCGTTGAAACGAAGTTGAAATTCTAAGGTTTTCCAGACTCCACCTGTTAATTTAACCCATTACAGTTCGTGGTCCGATTGACCAATTAACATTTTTCAATTAATTAATATTTATTAAAGGTATTGGTTGAGATACAAAAGTCAGTGTCACGAGCGGGATTCGAACCCACGACCTTAGGCTAGTTACGCCGCTGCTCTACCGGCGCGCCATCTAAACCTCACTTCTCGAATTTTCCCTCCTTTTTGCCATTTTTCAAATGTCGTTTAATCTATTTGATTCCCGGAGACAATTGAAATGGCGCCGGAGAGCTTTAGTAAAAATATAGTTTAGTTTACTTATTAAATCCATTACAGTTAGTGGTCCGATTGACCAATTACAATTTTTCTATTAATTAATAATATTTATGCAAGGTATTGGTCGCGATGAAAAAGTCAGTGTCACGAGCGGGATTCGAACCCACGATCATCGGCTAAATAAGTGAAGCGAAGTTACGATAACTCAAGTGGATTGAGCTGTGGCGTATTTAGCCGAAGATCGTGGGTTCGAATTCCGCTCGTGACACTGACTTTTTTATTTCGATCAATAACCTTTCATAAATATTAGTTATTTTAACAATTGAACCGCTTCGAAAAATATTTCTCCCTCTGGAGTTTGGTGAAAGCTCAAATGAACAAACACTTTTAAAAAATACAATTTTGATTTCCTGAAGGATATTGTAACAATGAATTTTGCATGAAATATTTATTTGATACATAAAAATTGAAATGGAAATTCATAGACAGTAAGATGAAAAAATTGAATTGTTAATTTTTTAAATTCACTAGTTTTCGTGGTCCGCTTGACCAATTAATATATTTCAATTAATTAAGGTTTTTAGTTGAAATAAAAAGTCAGTGTCACGAGCGGGATTCGAACGCACGATCTTCGGCTTGATTCGCCGCTGCTCTACCACTTGAACTATCGTGACATCGATCCACTCGGACACTAACTTCCCATCTCAACCCCTCCTTTTGAGGTGAAAATTCAAAAGGTGCGGTGGAGATGGGAAATTAGTGACCGAGAAGATCGAGGTCACGATAGCTCAAGTGGTAGAGCAGCGGCGTACCTAGCCGAAGATCGTGTGTTCGAATCCTGCTCGTGACACTGAGTTTTTTATCTCAACTAAAAACCTTAATTAATTGACATTGTTAATTTTCTTAATCGGCTTGATTAATGTTCCGCGTGCTGTGACTCTAAAGCATATATTAGAAGAATAACTCGAACTTCACAGGACTCAGTCTAGCATGCTTAACAATATATAGATTTCATGTTGAACCAACACACGGGCACTACTTGATCTGCTTCACTCGCGCGTTTTTTGTTTGAGTTATTCAAACGCGTTTCGGCATTACGCCATTTTCAGTGAAAAACTGTCTGTCATTTAGTCTGAGTAGGGTTTATATAGTACAGCGTCCGTCGCTTGTCGCTGGGGGCGTTGCGTTAGGGGCGTGGTCTCCGTGCTCGTTGATCGTGAGTTTGTTTGCGCGTTTATAAGTTTTTCACAATCACACACCACCTTTACACCACTAAAAACACTTCATAACAAAAAGCGAAAACGTTCAGAAGAACAAAACATCGCAACCAACACCAGGAAAAAACAAAAAACCAACAACGCACAAATAATAACTGACAATGGAAATGACCGCCACCAAGACCGACCAACGAGCACGGAAACCACGCCTCCTAACGCAACGCCCCCAGCGACGAGCGACGGACGCAATACTACATAAACCCTAATCAGACTAAATGACAGTTTTTCATTGAAGATGGCGTAATGCAGAAACGCGTTTGAATAACTCAAACAACCCGCGAGTGAAGACAGACCCAGTAGTGCCCGTGTGCCGGTTCAACATGAGTTCGCCAACTCGCAGACCAAACCCCATCATCTACTATAATATATCGATTTGTTAATTTAGAACGTACGTCATTATTACTGGGTAGAAGATACTATCGCCTCTTTAGACGAGGATGAGATTGTGAGGGAATCTTTTCTTTCTTGATCTGAGGAGCTATTATGCTGTAATGAGGATTTTACGACACTTTCGTAACGGGGCCATCTTGATCAAAAGGAATCAAAATGTCAAAGAGGAGAGGAAAAGGGGTAAATGTTTTGTGGCAAGAGATAAGGTTTTTTCTACCGCCCAAATCGATTTGTTACCTGTTTTTAGTTATTCATTAATTTTGTCATTAAATACACGCGCTCAAATTCTTGAATTTTGTTTTTCAATGCATTCACCGAAGGACGGAATGCTGAAACGCGTCTAAGAAACTCAATCAGCGGGGACAGGCCGCCAGGATGTTCGAAAAGGACTAAACTACGTGATATGAATGTTCGAAATGATCAAGTACATAAGTATTCGAACCGTCCCTTCCGAGATTACGTTAACAGGGGACTTTTTGAATTAATCAAGCCTTTCAATTGAGAACGTCTCGTTCAAAAACACATTCGAAAATATGCCTAACCATTTATTGGAGTCAACATAATATAGATTTTTATACTCTGGGAACTATTGAGTAAACTTTTGCCAGGCTATTTGTCCAGTGCGCTTGTTGGAGATCACTTTTTCAACGTAGTTGGACCTCTGCCGGATGCCGTGTTTGTCTGAAGCTTGTTCAAACTCCGACGATAAAAGTTTGAACGTGTTTTCGAAGACAGGGCACTGTTAGAGAAAATTGCTGGATACCATTAATCAATATAAGATAAACCAAACGTTTAGACAAATAAAACCAAACGATTGTCTTATCGTTTTTTTTTTAAATTAGCATAAATGATAAGCAAACTGAGATAGTTATCATGATAATAAAACGTTAATCATGCGAGTTCATGAAGCAAAATATCATTAATTCATAAACATGCCGAAAGTCACGCAAATCTATATTATTTGGAAGACATGGCGTGTCGTGTAAGACATGATTTTTTTATTGAATTCAGTAAAATAAAACTTATTATGGTATTCAAGCCTCAACTAGATTGAACTGTCATGATACTTTACCCTTTACAATGGACTATTGTTTTGACAACTGAGCCAAACACTTTAAAAAATCGAATTTATCCTAAACATACCAAAATCTAAATTTGAATAATAATAGCAGCAAGCGTGTGGTGATTAGTGACCGTTAATCGATAATTATTCAGAAATCGTGAGATGCTGTCTGGTGTGATGTAGGTTTCAGAAAAACATTTTCTTTATCGTGCCAACGTTTCGAGATTTATTGAGATCATCTTCAGAGACTGGGATTTATAAACATTGTTTACATTTAATAAATACATGTAGAATGTGGAAAAAAGTGAATTTATGCAATGCAAAATATATTTTTTATATTCAATCAAAGTATTTCTACTCACTCAAAGCGTGGTGAAGGTGTAGGGAAGGAAGTCGGTATAGAAAAGACATTTTTGTATAAGGCGTCGGCTTCTTTGAGGTGAAAAGAGCCGACGAAATTTTTGTTAAATGTAAACAATGTTTGTAAATCCCAGGCCCTGAGGATGATCTCAATAAAGCCAGGAAGACACTTACCCGATCCTACGCCATACGACGCTACCCGATGCTACCCGACGCCTTGCCACGTTTTGATGGGGTGTGCACATCTATCCGACGCAAGCACACGTCGCATACAGTCCACAGCGTTTATCACAATAATCACTGTCACAATCGCAACGCATCTTTTGTTCTTAATGCACTCTTTTGACCAAAACCTTGTAATAAATTGTTAGTTAAATTTTATGAGCACAACCATAAATTGTTTGTTAAACTTAATTGTTTTAAATAAAGTTACTCCTAACCATCATAATTAAAAAATGTTTATAAAAACTTATGCATTTTTGATCTCGTTTAATTTGGTTTACATTAAAATAACATGTTGTAATTAATATAACGACAATAATACATGTAGTTTGAATAAAAATATGAGTGTCCGGTTCTTTTGTCTTCGACTATACTCGATGCGAACCGACGAAAATCTGGACAGTGGGGACCGCAGAGCGTCGGGTAGGTTTGCACGGGGGTAATGCAACCTTATGGAAAGTCGGAGTTTGGATTTGCGTCGGGTAGCATCGGTAGCGTCGCATGGCGTAGCCTCGGGTAAGTGTGTTTCTGGCTTTACCCGATGGTACGCCATGCGACGCTACCCGATGCTATGCCACGCTAACCGACCCGACGCTCTGCGGTCCCCACTGTCCAGATTTTCGTCGGTTCGCATCGAGTATAGTCGAAGACAAAAGAACCGGACACTCATATTTTTATTCAAACTACATCTATTATCGTCGTGATATTAATTACAACATGTTATTTTAATGTAAACCAAATTAAACGAGATCAAAAATGCATAAGTTTTTATAAACATTTTTTAATTATGATGGTTAGGAGTAACTTTATTTAAAACAATTAAGTTTAAC